TTAAATAAACACATTCTAAAATGATAAAGGTACAAGTTACAAAAATAGGAGCCATTATTTATATGGTTTCTCCGTAATGCTATTTAATTTGTCATAGGACTCAAATGACATCATGTATGGGATTGTGTTTTCTAAAAGGTACAATTCTATAACACAATGTTTGATTTTTATAAATTCCAAAATGAAAAGCAGAATAAAAGAAATAACAGCCTTCTAAAATACCTGAAAGTATATTTCCAAACAAGTTTCCTACTCCAGAAAATTTGAAAATAGGTTTCAGGTAAGAGAATTGAGACTTAAGACAGACATAACGCCAAAGGATGAAATACATCTGATGTGTGTTTTGTGTATATTTTAGTTTTCTCAATCTAACAATTCATGAGTGAGAAAATGGTGGGATGAAAAATTTTATTAGAGTTATTGTTGTTATGTGCCATCGAGTCAGACCTGACTCATAGCGACCCCTCCTTGGGTTGCCAAGGCAGTATCACTGTGGAAGTAGATTGCCCAACCTTCCGTCCGAGGAGTGTAGTTAGTACATTTCAAATCTCTCTTTAAAATGAAGAAAATTATGCAAAGATCCCAACCCTATTCAAAACCACCAAATCCCCTTCCAGTTGACTCAGACTCATAGTGACCATACAGAACAGGGTAAAAGTCTAAAACTCACTGCTGTTGAGTCAATTTCGACTCATAGCGACCCCTCCTTGGGTTTCAGAGGTGGCATCTCCACGGAAGTAGATTGCCCAAACTTCCTTCTGAGGAGTGGCTGGTGGGTTTGAACTGCCAGCCTTCTGGTTAGCAGTCAAGTGCCTTAGGCACCACTTAGGAGCCACCAGTGCTCCTCAGAACAGGGTGTTGTTGTTGTTGTTGTTATGTGTCATCAAGTCGGACCCGGCTCATAGGGACTGCTCCTTGGGTTTCTGAGGCAGTATCACTATGGAAGTAGATTGCCCAACTTTCCTTCTGAGGAGTGGCTGGTGGGTTTGAACCGCCAGCCTTCTGGTTAACAGTCAAGTGCCTTAGGTACTACACTACCAGAGCCTCAAAATAGGATAGAACTGCTTAATATGGTTTCCATGGCTTTAATCTTTACAGAAGGAGACGGCCACATCATTCTCCCAAGGTACAGCTGGTGGGTTCTAATAGCCAACCTATTGGTTTGCAGCTGAGTGCTTTAACCACTGCACAAACAACGCTCCTTATTCCACCCCTATTTCTGCAAAAATCACAAGTTTTCTTCAGTTATTTAAGTCATTCATTCAGAAAATATCGGTTGAGAACTCATCAAGTGCCGGGCACCATTTCAGGGTTCCAGGAAATTATGAAGTCATTTCCCACCCCCAAAAAATCTATTTAGCAGTCTAGCGCCTAAATAGCATTAGTTTTATAGTGTAGTAAGTGATAGTAGGGGTTTGTATAAGAATTTATATGAAGATAGTCACTTCATACTCACTTAACGTGTGTTTTGGTGGCAAGACTTTTCAGAGAAAGAAGTCTGGGCGGGTTTTTGAAAAGAGGTGGGAACTAGACAGACCACTAGGGGAAGAGTAGTAGCATTACAGGTACACAGGAGCCGCAAGAACAGTTCAATAAGTCTGCAGCCGACAGCCAATGAACATGACAATGGGCTGATGATAAAGGCGTATACTTTGCTCAAGACTGGATTTTGTTCTGAGGGCAATCACAGTGGATGGTTTTAAACAGGGAAATAACATAATTACTTTTTTTCCCCAAGGGAAGGTGGATGCGAGGGAGAGCATATTGAAGGCAGGGAGTGAGGACAGTGGAAGATGGCTAAGCAAACAAGGATGAGGATGACCATGATTATGGTAGTGTACCAAAAATGTTGGTAAAAATATCCAAATACAATACATTGTAATGAATTTAAAATACAATGTAACACACTATTTTTGTAGAAAATATCACAAAAGACAGTATTGTTAAAATTTTAGGAATCCTTGTCATGAAGAGTTAAAGTTATACACAGAGTGTAATAATCAATCAGGGTGATAAATGATATTATTACATTTATGGCACACCAACTCTCAAATTGATAGTTGATTGATTTTTAAAAACTCCTGAATGAAAGAACTATATTGGTTTACATATACACAGGGCAATCTTCACCCTATTGAAACCGCAGAAAACAGTGTGATAGGAAGCCCCTTAGAGGTCATTTAGCCCCATCCTTTCACTAAAGATAAGAAAACTGAGACCTAGAGATTAAACCATTTGCTGGAGGTGACACCCCTCAGGAATGGCATTGCTGAGACTAAAATCCAGATGCCTGATCCCTAGGGCATGGCTCTTTCTACTACATGCCAACAGATTCCCAAGAAAGGCATCAAAATAAACTAATGGGATAAGGATCACTATCCAAAAGAAAGACTTTTACAGTTCTTTAAAGCTATAAAAAACATTGAAAACGGCAAATACCTGCTTTATATTATTAAAAGTTGGTCATTTTCCCAGACAACCAACACAAGAGAATCTATGCCAATATCAGCAACTACTCTTCACATACTCATTTTCCAAAAATAATTTTGGCCTCTACTTTGGCTTCATGGTACAGGTATCCAAGTGTATGTGATTTATATTGTTATTACTTTATTATTTAAAAAATGGAAAACAGAAATGTAAGTTTATTTAGGATTAGCAAAAAGAGAGACAACTTTATACAAAGATGACATATTGTGGGTTTGTGAACGGGCCATCTCAACTAATCATCATATGACAGAAATATTTATATGGAACCTCTTTAAATGCTGGGAAAAGAAAGAATTAAATTGCCAATCCTGTAACTTTCCACCAATTCATTCCCAAATTAGCATTAACTCATGTATTTATTATATATTATGAGTTTTTAATAAGGTAAAAATGAATTGGAGAGGTTCTTATTACATATTTATTGTAATAAAAGCATTCAACACATTTTATGGGTTTTTAGAAAGTTTATTATGGATACTAAGGAAGTCTCCTCATTACCTACCCCTCCCTTCAAATAATAAAAGAAACAACATGAAACCAGAACCCACTCTGTATGCAATTTGAGCCATTGAAATAAAACAGTTAATGGAAAATCTCAGTAAAAATCCATTTTTGAAGAAATCAATACTGTTCAGAAATAAGGGAATCATATGTATCACTTGTTAAAAGGTAGATTTTGTTATAAGTAAGTCTATCTAGGCTTTAAAACTTGCCAGTAGCTATTGGAAAAGATATAAATTCATGATTTATTAAATTCATCAAATACTTTTGACCAATCAATACACCCAAACATTTAATAAACCTTTTTAAATACAAGGTATAACTATAAAGTCATGAGACTGGTTGACCTTTTAACTAACAGAATAGACTCTATGCAGCCAATGAGTAATGTTGCTGAAGCAATAGGTCAGGATCTTGAGCGTCTTTATAAGGATGCTACAATGGCCTACGGTAGTTTTATAATGTCTATAATTTAATCATTTGCTTGTTTTGGTTCCGCAATAGTATTCCAGTTCAATCATTTTTTATATTGACCCATTCTGGCTATTTTGTAAAATCAAACTAATCTTCATTGCACAAAGATTTCTTACCTATGGATATATTTAGAGGACTGTTAATTCAGGTTCTGAAATGTCAGCATTTATAATGTACACACTTGGAAGATGTGTCCATTATAGGAAATTTGTTTAAAAGCCACCCACATGCCTCATAGACATTTTGGGTACATGCCTATCACTTTGGAATAATGGACCTTTTTTAAAAACAACAGTGACTTGTAACACTGAAATAGGACTCTGCAGTTCAAAAATGATAACAGTAAGTTTACACTGTGCTACGAAACTGTTATTATACAACATCTTACGGTTTGTAGCTGTTAATTTTTCATGTATATAGCTCAGTAGCACAGATACAACAAGTTAACAACTGTCCTCTCAGTGTCTCCTTGTAGCTTAAATTGTACTAAGTCCTAGAAGGAACCTTATTGTAAAATGTTATTGAATAGCACCACAATTACTCGAGAGTAAAGTGAAACATTAGTAGGAACGCAGAACACAGGTTTAATTTCTAACTACAAGAGAGAAAGGATCTCCTAGATGATGAAATTATATATTAGAGATGGATTATTTTAAGATTATGCCCAGATACACACCAGTCAGTAAACCTCTCAGGAGTGTGTTTGGAAAAGTTATAAAGGAAAACATTTTATATAGGTCTTTTACATTCTATTCCAAAATTAGAAATTTATGCTTATATAATCAAGACAGTGCAATCTCAGCAAGGAAGTTCCTTGTGTGAGATACATTTACTCATTCTATATATTATTTCAACAAAATAACAAATATAATAAAAGTGCCTTAAAGCAATCTGATTAGAGCAACATTTACATTAAGTACAAAATATACAGTAAAATGAAGAATCTTATTAAATAGGCCTATAGGTTAACAATACCTTATTTAAAGGAACACATTTTCATGATTCTATTTTCACATTTATTCATTTTATTATATTTGATATCACCATTGTATGCTTCTGTTTATTTCTAGGATCTTTATCTATCCTGTTTAACTATCCTTAAGAGTTTATCTGTAAAGACAATTTAAAAAGCACAACTCCATGACTAATAATAATAAAAGAAATCTTATATTTTTATTAGCAGTTGTGCACGAAACCATCGTTGTGTTTTTGAGAGAAATGTCCTTTGATCATTATAAATTCATCACTATAAAATTTATGCTTTTGTATTAAACAAAAACTGTCTGCCTTTAACATTTAAGTTTTGCCAACCTACTGTGTAACTCTGGTTATAAAGTTAGATAGAAAATCTTTGTCTATTAATTGTAAAAGCATTTGAAAAGATCTGCCAATAAACATTTCTAAATGTGACTGCTCATCTTAATGGTTTTCTTAATAAGAAGAGCTGGGAAATGAACAGAACAGTAAGGCTTCTGTGTTTTAACAACAAAGAAGTATTAACAGTATCCAAATCTCCAGACCTGGGGTCCAAGTATTCAGTCGTGGCTCAGCTGCAGGCTGACAGAAGAGAAGCAGCGTCCTACGCTTGCACACAATGGTGCAATGACAACATCTGTCATGCTCTTCCATATTGTCTGCACTGAAGGCAGGACCATTAGGCAGGTCTTTACAAAAGGCATTATAATCCTGAAATGGGGGGAGAGAGACGTAGGGACCATCAGTGTTACCAAATAATGCGCTTGATTCTTGTACATGCTTGGAAAGATATAGTAATGACCAAATTCACCTACATTTGTTTGAACATTTGAAAAAAATAAATGAACAATTACCCTCAGTGATAATACAAAAGATATGTTTAATAAAAAATAGGCATATAGATGATAAATATTAGTCTTCTTCCTATTGCTACATGCTATGTAAAACAGTAAAACACAACTAAACAAAATCATTTACTTACCTGCGCTCTATCCATAATACTGATTGCCTAACTATTCCTATTTCCCTGAGGTTCTACTTCTTGGTAACCTCTTCTGTTGCCTCATTCCACTTCCCTCCCCTTTGGACCAGGATAGGTTGGGTACTCCCCTTTGGTGCTTCCAAAGTACTGGTACAAACTTCTTAATCCTCAGATTGACCAAAACATATGATAAACAGATGCTTATATTTCCATCGTTCCTACTAGAATATAAGCTAAGTGAGAACTTTAACTTACAGTAGATGTTAGAACTGAAAATAATTTAGCATTCTGTTATGCTTTGTATCAGTTATTTTTCATGAAACCATTGGAAAGCGCTGCATGGTGTAGTTAAAAGAGCCCACCAATTAATGTCAAAACCCTTAAAGATAAACTAGGTTTTGCTGAAATTATTTTTCCTGTATGCCTTTTCCTAAGATAATTATTTACTTATCTTTCCCAGTCTGGTTAATTTCCTATGTACTCTGCCTCCCCTTTTTTAAAAAATAATGTTTTATTGCACTTTAGGTAAAAGTTTATACAGCAAATTAGATTCTCATTCAACAATGCATATACACTGTTCCACGACATTGCTTACTATCCCCACAATGTGTCAGCACTCTCATCATTTCCACCCCTCCTGCCCCATATCCATCCATCCAGTTTCCCTGCCCCTCTTTGCCTTTTCATCTTTGCATTTGGTAAATGTTGACTGTTCGGTTTTATATAGCTGATTATTTTATAGGCCAATCTATTATTTGGCTGAAAAGTGACAAGGAGTGGCTTCAGTTCCAGGTTAAAAGGGTATCTTAGTGCGATACAAGTCATGGTATGGTATTTTCAATCATCTCCTATGCACATGAGAGCTGGACAATGAATAAGGAAGACGGGAGAAAAGCTGATGCTTTTCAGTTGTGGTGCTAGTGAAGAATGCTCAAAGTACCATGGAGCTGAAAGATCTGACAAACCTGTCCTGGAGGAGTGCAGCCGGAATGCTCCCTGGAAGCGAGAATGGCCAGACTTCGTCTCACCTACTTTGGTCATGTCAGAAAGGACCATTCCCTGGAGAAGGATGTCATGCTTGGCAAGGTGGAGGGTCAACAAAAGAAGGGAAGGCCCTCAATGAGATGGATTGACACAGTGGCTGCAGCGATGGGCTCAGGTATAGCAAGGATCGTGGAGCTGGCGCGGGACTGGGCAGTGTTTTCTTCTGCCGTGCATAGGGTCGCTGTGAGTCGGAGACGACTTAGTGGCACCTAACAACAACCACACGGCAATGGTCTCGGGGGTTCCTCTAGTCTCTGTCAGTCCAGTAAGTCTGGTCTTTTTGTGAATTTGTGTCTTGTTCTACATTTTTCTTCCATTCTAACTGGGACCTTCTCTTGTGTCCCTGGTCAGAAGAGTTGGTGATGATAGCCAGGCAAGATCTAGTTCTGGTCTCAGGCTAGAAGAGGCTGTGGGTTATGTGGGCCATTAGTGTTGTGGACCAAAATCTTCCTTGAGTCTTTGGTTTCCTTCACTCACCTTTGCTCCAGATGGAAAGAGACCAATAGTTGTATCTTAGATGCCACTTGCAAGCTTTTAAGATCCCAGATGTTACTCACCAAACTAGGATGTAGAACATTATCTTTACGTAGTTAAGTTATGCCATTTGACACAGCCTATGTTTGAAGGTCCTGAGCCTTCAAAGATAGTAAATCAAACCCATGAGATGTTTACATAAGTCTAGGAAATATCCCTAACTGTGCCTTCTATGTGCTTTATTGTATGTATGAATATATATGCAGCACATACAAGCATACACACACACACACACACACACACATCTATGCCCACAAATATACCTATATATATGCACATGTATGCACTCCCATATTCCTTCCCACATCTATATTGTTGTTCTTAGGTGCTGTAGCATTGGCTCCAATTCACAGCAACTCTCTATGTAACAGAATGAAACACTGCCCAGTCCTGTGCCATCTCCAAAATCTTTGCTATGTGAGTCCATTGTTGCAGCCACTGTGTTAATCCATCTCTTTGATGGTCTTCCCCTTTTTTGCTGACCCTCTGCTTTACTGAGCATGATATCCTTCTCCAGGGACTGGTCCCTTCTGATAACATAATCCAAGTAGATGAGACCAAGTCTGGTAATTCTTACTTCTAAGGAGCATTCCTGCTGTACTTCTTCTAGGACAGATTTGTTCATTCTACTGGAAGTCCATGGTATTTTTTTTCCCCACACCCATATATCATACATATGTACCTATGTCACCACTCATATTTTTTTACTCGGATTACTGATGTTGCAAAATCGTGTATGTTATAACATTTACTATGTTGTTGTTGTTGTTAGGTGGTGTTGAGTTGGCTCTGACTCATAGTGACCCTATGCACAACAGAATGAAACACTGTCCGGTCCTGCACCAGCCTCACAATCCTTGCTACACCTGAGCCCACTGCTGCAGCCACTGTGTCAATCCATCTTATTGAGGGTCTTTCCCTTTTCCAGTCGTCTTTTATTCTGGCATACCACTCAACATCTTCTTCTACCTTAGCCAAGTTGTGCTGACTTCCCTCATGCTGTGCAATGCCAGAAATAACACACATCTAGTAAGTGATCCCCCACGACCCCCTCGCATCCCTGGTGACCGTCAAAGGAACCATGTTGCTTTCTGTGTGTACACCTATCCTTGACTTTTTATAGAAGTATAATTTTCTTAATGTTCTCCATTGCAGTGCTCTTTGAGCACAGTAGTTAGGATTTCTCATGCAGTGTTGGTGGCCTCAGTGGAACATTTATTATTACCTGGGGGTGCACAAGGGAATAAGGTCAATTGTCCAGATTTTCTGTTAAAATGTGACTTAAAGGTCTGCTGTACTTAGCCTACAGTGAAGGAAAGATCAAGCAAATGTCTGACTGACGTATACATTAGACACTTTGAGTGATTTTATAAGAAATTGATGACCGTGTGTTTCAGAGCTAAACAGTTTGAATGGAAACCTCAATGATGGCAACTTTTGGCTTCTTATCCCATACGTTTCTCACTTAGTGTATGGCCTTGGGAAAATTACAAGTTAAAGTGAGAACAGGAAATCATACAGACACTGGCTATCAGGATTAATTTATTGCACACCCTTGAAATGTCCATATGAATAATAAGTGGAACTATTTCGAGGTCAGACTATATTATGAATATTATTACAACAAAATAAACTCAAATTGACATATTAAAATACAGAAGTTTAGATGAGAAAGTTTCGTAACCATATCCGCTTCACTCAGAGCGTGTGCACTTTCTACTCTACCTCAGGCTAAGAACTTTTCTATTCCCATAACTCCTTCCATCTCCCTGTCCTAAAAGGGAATTAAGCACATGACAGAAGTGGATTTTCCAGTTCAGCAAAGTGCAGTTTCATCAGTTCACAGGAAGTGTTGAACAAATCTTCATTTTATTTTCATTAAGTGGTTGTTCTCTCACTTTGGATCAGAGGACAGCAAATTCAAATTATACTCTCAACATCCCCATAGTTTCCCTTCTGAAGCTCCAGGCAATTTGGACTGACCCAAGACTTGGTTGAGGCTCAATGGGTCAACCAAAAATTTCTTACATTAACTTATCATCTACAAGATTATATATTCTCCACTGGGAGATAAAGCTCCTAGGACAGAGACTCTTTTAATGATCTTTGTATTAACTATAGTGTCATGGAGACTTCATTGTCATAGCAGTTTGCTGTATTAATAATGATTCTTCTAGAAATGAGATTTCTACTACTGCATTTCTCCCAGTTGACTATCTACTTGCTTTACATCCCAGAAAGAATAAGGTGTATAGGGGCTGCACCACATTACTTTGGTATGATGCACTATGACCAATAACATGTAGTCCAAATGGCAGCCATGTCATCTGACTGTGGCATGGGATCAGACCAATGCACTGATCCCTATAGAGCCTGTACTTCCAGCCTAGGACCCAACATCATCAGCCTAGGTGCTGTTTTCATGTTTGGTTAAAGATTTTAAAATCAGATTCATTGTGATGTTGTCTCTTGGTTCAAAGTTCCAATGCTTTGTACTTTCATAGCTTTTATCATTAACTTTTTGGTAAAACAATATATTGCCCCCAACCACCAGCATCTCCAACCACTTCCCCTACCACCAAAACAACGACAACAACAACAAATCTTTACCCGACGGAGTTTGCTTTTCTGTAAGACCTTTCCTTGAGTGGTCTTATCATATCATGGGAAAGTAATCCATTAATGATATACCATTTTCTCAAGACTAAACTAACTTTGAGCTTTTTTACAATTTAATTACTCGCCGTCCTTACAATCACGGCTGCCTAATGACAAATGTGTGCAGTTACATATTAATGTCCCACATAAAGATAATTTGAAAAACAAGCTGAAGTTAAATAATGCATTTATGTGTCTGAAAAAGAAGCACTGTCTGAAGACACCTCCCAGGTCTCAGGAGAGCCCAGGGGAGAGAAACTTCATTTGGTGAATGACAGATTTACTTCTATCTTTCCACTATCTGGTAAATGAAAGTTCCCCACCCTGCCCCTTTCCAATTCTCCCTCCAGTTTCAGGAAAGCTCATTTTTATTGACTATGAATAGGGTACTTTATATTTCCAAATAGCTTCATAGTCAACATTTCACAATAGGCTATGTGGTCACTCTGTTCCACTCTGTTATTCAGATTTTTTAATGTGAAGAAACTGACATAGCGGTCATAGGATTGATTGGTAGTTAATCTGGAATCTAAAATTTTGTTTGCTGATTTAGGCATCTTTTAAAAAAGATCTGTGTACTAATGTCAGAATAGGAGATAACTATAAATCTGACAAAATTATAGAAACTTTGTGGGTCTGTTCACATATAAAGATGAAGACTTTCCTTTCTCTGATAGTCTTTTAGCAGTTGCAACATTGTTAACAATGTTTAGTGATCAAATTAAATTGGTGTTCTTTGTTTATCCTTTACTTCTTGGGTGATTTTTGTTTTTCCTCTATTGACTTTGATAAAGTGATTCAAGAGACTTGGTGGCATTAGCTTGACAACTGTGGCAATTTTGGGGAAGATCAGAATGTTCTCCTCAAAATAGGTACCTTTTGAAATAACAACAAAACTTCTTGGCAAAATATAACATTGCCCTTTTCAAAAGTTTGTTAGTGCTTAAAAATGTTCTCCAAATTTTATGATGCATTTTGGGTGTGAATAAAGTTATTCAGGACATCCTATTAATGTCCAATAGGCTTCCATATTTCTTTTCCCTTTAATTAGATGCCACTCCCATTTGTGCCTCGTAGGTGGAAAGGTCTTTTAGAGTCCTTCTCAGGCCATTACCCTGCACCTTGAGTTTTCATTCATTTGTGCGGGAGGCCCCTCAGCTTAACTGCCCACCTTGGCACCTCTTTGCATCCCATCCTTGCCCTTTGCTAGTGGCAGGATCGAAGCAGCCCTTCCACAACCATGCTTAAGCAAGTCTGCCATCCTTACCCAATTGATATTGTCAGTGGCATTCTGCTTAGAGATCACTTTTGTTTTACCCCAAGCACAGGTGGTGACTGGGTGAGAGATGATGAAAGAAAGAAGCGCCCTGCCCAGAACCACACGCACAAGTCAGAACAGGGCCTTATGAGAGAGCAGTCAGTGGCAGGAAGCATGGCCTCCAGGTGTCCACCTCCACACTCGGCTCTCTTACTTACAGGAGGGAAAATCACACCCAAGGAAAAAGGGATATTCTGCTTTCTATTTAAACCTCCAACCTAACCTATTATTCTACGAAACTTCACTGCCTTTCAAGACCTCCCAGTACTGACTAATGCGTCTGCGGAGCTGAAGCGCGTTCATCCCCCACCACGCAGGCCTGGAGGAGGAGGAAAAGGGAGGGCAGAGCAGGTGGCAAAGAACATCCCGCCTTTCCAGAGAGCAATCCACCCGTGTGTGCCCTTCTCACCAGATGTGCAGACAGCTGAGGGCAGCAAAGAGAATCCCTGCAGCGAAGGCCAGGGGGATGGCCAGGAACACCGTCAGGAACTTGTAGACCACGTACTTGCTGACCTCAAAGAGAGCGTGGCTGCAGATCCACACTTTGTCAAAGGAGTGCGTAGACACGGGCTCGCCAACCACGTCCTCGAAGCCCAGCTGCCAAGACAAGGCGCAGGGACCCCCGCACTGTCACCCAACCTGCCGTCCCCAGAACCAGGAGCGTGAGGGGCGGGAAAAGAAAGGAAAGAGGGCTTGCACCAGGGAGTCCGCACCTTCTCTTAGGGTCACGGTGGGCGCGTCGGAATCTGGGTGTGGATCCCTGCCAACGCCACCGGCGCAGGGAGCTGGGGGAGGAAGGGGCGCGGGTCCTGACTCCGCACAGCTGACCAGTGTTAGGGCTGGGGGCAGGGCGGGTGGGGACCGAGTGCCGGGGCCCCGGGTCAGCTTCAGGCCCTGGTTGTCGCTCGCGCCGCGTTACCTGGAGATGCGAATTGAGCCTATGGGGATCCCGGTCTGGGTCCGTGTCCGTGAACTTCTCGGGGTCGGCGTAGTGGACGCCGCTGTGGCGGCTGTAGACGTCGTCGTCCATGAAGAGCTGGATGTCCGCCTTCTCGGTTTCCAGCCCCATCGCGGCGCTCGGTGCGCGCGGCTGCAGCGGGCCTGGAGCGCACGGTCCCGGCCCGCGCGG